CTCCTATCTTCCTTATCTTGACAGCTTGGAAAATGAACAACACTAGTCAAACTCTGAAGCAAAGGAAAAGGTGTGTCTTCAGTCAGCCTTTCCCTGTACCTGCTAAAAGCAGTTACCTCCCAAGAGACAGTTTTAGCTTGCTTCAAAAAGTAAGGAAATTAAAGCAATTGCAGTGTTTGTTCATCTGTCTGCCTGAGTATTTCCCTCACCCCAAACTTGCAAACTTACTGGCAATTTTAAATTAAATTTGACAGAAGTCTCAAAAAATCAGTAAGTCCTCATAAATCTCTTGAAACAATAGCTGGATAAATAGAAAGAACCCCAAACCATGCAACTCCCTGGGAGAGTGAGCTACTATTGATCTGTTACATGCCATCTGTCAAGCAGAGGTAGTCTGCTCTACACGTAGTGGGTTGTGCTGCTCTGCGCTAGCAAGCGCTCCTGTGGCCCCTCCCATGGGGCTGAACTAGCCTTTGACCACTTTTCTCCTTTCCCCCTTCAGGTCAGCTATCTGACTGGCTGTTTCTCAAATCTTTAAAAGAAACATCAAATATTACACCTTTGTTCTTTCATTTTTCCTGTCCCAACCATTACATTTTTGCTTCCTCTTCTTACTATGTTGGACAGGCTAACTCTTCATGCCGGCATGCCTGTAGGGCCTCCCTCACTACAGCACATGTATTGCAGATCAGTTACTTGGAATATATTCTGAATACTGCCATCTAGAAAACTTAATAGGTCTCCTCAGTCCTACTCGAAGTCCTTTAGATCTTCACAAACACAAGGCTGAGCAAAGTACAGAGTGAGCTGCTGCCACCTGTCAGGTAAGACGATGGGTTTCACAATTAAAGCATCCCTCTTTGGAGGCCTTTGGAATGGGAAATAGGGCAGCACCCTCTGGAAGACACATATCAAGCATAGTTTATTATTAGAGGTAAACTTAGTAAATTCCTTATATTCCTTAGCATTGAGACCTAGCAATTTCAAAGAAGTTAGGCACCAGAATTAGGCTGTCAGAAGTTTCCCTGTCTGAAGGCTCCGCTCTGAAGCCCTAGGCACACACACTTGCACAACGTGGCACACTGGGGACCAGGCTTTTTTCTTCCTCTTCACTTACATCCCAAATGTAATAGAAAGCCAGGCAGAATTAAATCCAATTTACAGCAGCGGCTTAGATTTTGACATGATGTCATGTTTTTTCAGCTAACAGGGAAACCACACTATCTTCTAAACTTCATACCTCAAGGCAGGAGAGAACAGGACGAAAGCCTGGGTGGCTCCTGGTGACAGGAGCGGCCTCCTGCCCTGCCTCACTTCCAAATTGCAACATACGCAAACCCCTTACTTGTAAGATGGCTTCAATTTTATCCTGCAGGGTTTCCCTGGAGGATAAAGCCAGTGCTGACAAATTCAGCTTCTCCAACCCCAAATGAAGAATCTATCTTTCAGTTATTACGCATCACCTGAATTTTTATCACATATACTGTCTGTCAAAGTCCTGTGACACGGATTTATCTTGACAGTTTGGTCTAAACTTTCTGTTTCATGAGTACAAAGAGCAGCAAGAGATCCCTTCAGAGATTAAAAAAAGATGTCCCGTTGGATTTATTTGCACCCCAGGGGGCATCATTTGGGGGTAGAGTCCTTCAAGTAGCACATTCAGTTATTTTCATCTTCCCATCATATACCAGTTGCTGCTTCTGCAAGCTCTCTGAAATGCTCTTTTCTAAGGTAGAAGGAGGGGGAAGACTGAGAGGGAGGGGGGCAGAAACACAACAAAGGACAATTAATTTCCAGAAATTATAGCAATCTCATCCTCTTCCTGCATTTCTCTCTAATTCTTCTTTCAGAGAAGAAAACCCTTCCATACTGTGGAAAATATTTCATTGTATATTATTTCTATAGGTTCTGTCTCAAAATGGCCTAGACAGCATATGAGGAGAACTTGGTTCCCAAATCTTTTGGTACTTTGCCTCCGCTATGTGGAACAATGTGAGAATAGAAGATTACAAGAAAAATTCCTGTTGGGGTATCCTCTTTAATTCCCTCCAGATTTATACAATCACTTCAGTTAGAATAAAACCAAAAGCAAAGGTGTATCACTAAAAGGAAAATGTGGCAACTGTATGTATTAGTACACTTCGGGGAACATGCACAAAGAACGTACGTGTTTCTCCAAATATGGTTATCTTAGGAAATCTTTTGCCCCAAGAAAGCCTGGGGAACTCAGATCCCTTTTCAGGAATTCTTTTCAGGAATTGTTCTTTCATCAAAACAGAAACAGCTGTATTTCATATCTCCCAGTCAATGCATATTGCTGGAAAAATTAACAGATTTCTGAACAGAAAAATAGGCAGCCCAGTATCTGCAGGTGCCAGAACTGAGACCATTCAGATGACAGAAGCTGGAATAGCCAGGGGTTTCCAATTACATACAGGTGGTTCAGAAGGATGACAGAATGGCTTCTCAGTCTGTGATAAAACCCCTCTTTCTAGCATCAAGGCGAAACATCAGCTTTTTGATGTATCTCCTGAAGTGTCTATCTCGTGGAATCGATGGCTCTCCTGCAGTCTTCTCTGCAGAGCAGCTGCCCTCCTGCCCAGTCTGTTTCCATCCACACACAGAATAGACAAGATATGAAAAGAGCATTGCAATGGATTTTGCATACTGTAAAATATGTTATTTAAAATTTTCTCGCTTCATGTACTGTTTAAAACCAGAACTTTGTATGAGAATTTTGTCCAGAATTTTGTATGTCAGGCAATTCCTTTAGGACACAAAATCCTGATTTGGGATCCTATCTTAGGGCTCTTCATTTTGAATGAACATTCTTATTTTCTCTTATTCACTCTTCCAGGTATGGAACATGACTGTTTAGTTTTTTTCTTTGCAGAAATATGACTAAATGAAGCATCCATGGAAGTAAAATGTAAATAGCAGGAGATTTCAACAGGAAATGGTCAGACAAATTCAAATTTTTTCAAATGGTAGCATGTAAAGATATGCAAATTTCCATAATAATTTGGTTGCAGTACAGAAAGTCCTGTAACATCATGGGAACAACTTCTGCCAGAGTTGTTCCATCGTTTTTCCCACTTCGAATTCTTAATTACACAGTGAGTCAGACGTGATCTTTACTGTTAGTGTAAACAGAACAAACAGTGAAATTTTAAAACCACATTTATTTTTAATACAAAATCTGTTGCACTATTACAGAAGTGAGCCTGTGTGTTTACCCCCACATGCACAGATAATTCAGCATCTACAATTAAATAAGAGTGAAATTATATTTCTCTTTTACCAAAACCATTGGCAAATCTTATTAAGAAATGTTCTCTTTGTGCTTTGTAATCAATGTTTGTAGAATTAATTTATTTCGGTTCCCATTAAGAAAAATGATCAATGGAAAGCTCAAAGGTGCGAAAGAAGCTTATTACAGCTAGCTTACATTTGCGATTACTTCAGTTGTGCTTTACCTACAGTATATACATGAAAGCTGCAAGGTGTACTATGGTCTAATGTAATGCACTGGCAAAAGTTCTGAATGTGTCAATTAGGAATCTGCAGTAAATAAGCAGAACAGTTCACTATTTCGTTTCCACAGCAAAAAAAAAAAAAAAAAGATATTTAAGTAGATGCTTTAAAATACCATGCACACCGTTGGCTATAGTACTTCTCACACAGTACAACATAAGCTTTCTTGTTTTATTTGTCTGTAACACCTAGAAGCATATAGCATCTACACTTTAAGTGTATTTACAAATTCAACAAAATATCTACATATAAAAAGCTTACTTAAAATTAAACTTGATGCAAGTTATGAAAAACCAATTTATTGGCAAATGAAACTGAGCATTCCTTCAACCATAGGTTGTTATAAAAATTTATATTTGGAGGTAAACATTTGATTGACATAGTATGCGAGAAAATAATTTTGCCACCGATAACGGTAATCCTTTACCACTAAACCATATTAGCACTTGTCAGATTGAATTCTGTGGTTCCAAGCGGTAACCCCCACACTGCTTCAGGGTGTAGATAATTACAAAGCTGCCACACTGATCAGGCCGGGATGCAAAGGGAAATGCACTCTTGCTGGTGTAGTCGGCTGGCTTGGTTTTTTAACAATTTATTTTATAAGAGCTTATACCTTGCTGTGTTAGTAAATAATTTAATTCTGTTTGTGTTTTGGTTTTTCTAAGGCCATGAAAACATGTTGTGCTGTAACTGTCTGGAAAGCATCTCTTTATTCTTAACGTAAAAAAAAAAAAATCATACTCTTCTTTGTGCAATTTAAAATATTTAAAACCTTCCATTTTTAGCACAACAGTTTCATAACACTTTTTTTTTTTCTTCATATTTTTACTTTATTTGGCAATGACAGTAGTCCACTAATCACAGTTTACTGCACCGACTGATTTAGTAGTACAGCATGTTATGGAATGCATATTGTATAAAGGCACTGAATGTATTTTGCCCTGTGTTTTCTGGAATATTTCTCTCATTTTAAAGTTTTTCTTTCAGTGACTGTACAAATTCCAAAATGCATTGCAATGCATATCTTTTATGCCCTAAAATCAATCCAATGTGTTTTGATGTAAAAATAGAACACTGTACTGCTGTAATACTTGATAGATTAAAAAGGCTATAAAGTAATAGGAGCAAAGAGCAGATAATAGGGTCTCATTAAGCATCAGCAAATGCAAGTGTCATACTTAAATCATTTAGCAATTATATACTGTACATACTGTTCCTAACTGTCTTGCAAAAAGACATATGATAGCTAGACATTAAGTCACCAATTTCACAACAATGTCCACAAAGACATTGAAGTTCTATATAATACTACTATAACACTCTGACAATGAAAACAGAATTCATATCCAGGGATTCAGCTGAGGACTGCATAACAAATTGTCAAACCATGTTTTTATAGTGTACACAAGATTATCTGTGAATTGTGTAGCATTTTTTTTCCATGCATTATACTGTATTGTCAACAGGAAACAAAATTATAAGTTGATGTTATTGTTTGTGACAGTTCCTTTTAAAAAAAGTAATATCCACAATTTGAACAAAATTTGAATTTCATTCATACTAACATACCACTTAATGTGTCGTTATGCTGTATAATTGTATTGACCTGCATATTCTCATAGCATAAACATCTTGTGGTGTGGAGCTCTGTTACCTGCACGTTCCTAGTATGAGAAGGAGGATGTACAAGTGCTTCAAACAAACTGAAGATACAAGGGGATCGAGTTCTGTGGTTACACAAATGAATTCATGGCATTTACAGGAGAAGGAGCCTCAGAGCTTTCATTTCCTTCTGCAGGTTCTTTCTCTTTTTTACCGCTATATTGTCCAATAAAGGAGCCATCCTCATTGAACTGACCATTTACACCTTCTCCATAGTCAACTAAACTATCATCACTATCTTCTTTTTTCACAGTTCTGTCTGAAGGTGTTCGGCTTCCTTTTTTTAGAGGTTTATGGTCCTCTGCATCACTGGAGACACAAACAAACAAACAAAAGGAATTAACTAATGTATTATATATTAAGATAAAATTAGCCATGCATGCAGATTTTATAAATAGCATGTGTGCAGCCCTATAATCCTTTAGTAACCTGCATCACATTGTAGAGGCAGATCAATATGATGCAGTTGACATGAATACATGGTGTAGGAATGGTTTAAACAGAGAATGTCTTCAGTGGAGGGAGTGGGGTTTGTGGTTTCTTTTTTTTTTCCCCGTCGTGCATGACTTTTCAATGATAAGACTTGTGCCCTTGGCTTGGAAGCAATTTAGATGCAACTGCAAGCATTAAAATGTGGGTTGTAAAGTTATAAAAAAAATAATTTATTTGTTCTCCAAAGTAACAAGCTTATGATGTACTGTGAAGTTAGTCTGTTAAACTTCTTAATTTCTTTGACTCCTTGAACATGAATGAAGAATGAATTTGGTTAAATGACATATACTCATTTTCTTTACTAGTATAAAGAAAATAAAAGTGCTGCATTTCAAATAATTTGTTACATAATACAGGCCAGACTTGCAATTTTCAGCCTTACCTTTCAAGAGACCTACATATTCCATTAAAAGGGTGCAGAAGAAACAAATGAAAATAGCCTAAGAAGAAAAGCAAAGTCCAAATCCTGATAGTGATACTATTTTATCGATAATAAGTTGCTCTTAAAATTGCTAAAACATTTACTGTATACAGGCAAAGCAACAATTTAGCTTACAGTAGCTAGAGCTGAGAAGTTAAGAGCATGCTTAATTTTTTTCATTCCTTATCAGATCAGCTTCCTTATCGTTATCCATCACTGCTAACATGTTCTGACAATGAAGATGGTGATTTGGAGGACAACAGAAAAAGGAAAGGGAAGAAAGGCAGGCAGGAGAGATCCCTGTAGCAAAGTACTGTGGTCTTTCCCTTGGCAGTGGAAAAGCTGCAGCCCCATCAGCATACCCAAATAAATCTGCAGCTGTGGTAAGCTTGCATTTCATGAAATAGATGTAGTTGGGCTCTTTTCAGAACCCTTTACACTGCACTTCAGTTTCAAGATGAAGATTTCAGCAGCAGCTCCAAAGCATTTCCAATTCAAAACCACTATTGCCAGCTGCACTTTTGGGTGCAATTTTTTACCTTGTCTTAAACAGAACATATGACTTTATTTGCATATAGGGTATAAAGGAGTAAGTGATTTTAGTGTTTTTATTTGAAGACTCCCAGCTTATGGAAATTATAAGGAAAAATGTACAGAATATCAAGGAAATAAAAATAAAATATATTTACAGTATCTACCATATTAGGCTGAATACATTCAGCAAATTATTTTAAGTGTGTAATTCCTAAAAGTGAATCTTAGTTCTTCCAATAATTATATTTTCATTTTTTTAATGAATATCTTTGAATAACAAAATAAACCATACATAAATATATATATATAGCATATACAAGGTCACACAATTGCTAGAAAACCATTACACCAGTTTTCCATCGAGCTTTTTCTCCTCATCTCATCACCTTTTTTGGCTTTTGAAGACTCCAAGTTATCACATTCTAAAAGAAGTATGTCTCTAATACACATATATTTACAGAAAAAGCACATCAGAGATTTTATTCTTCTATGTATAAACAAGAAAGAAGTGGTAGGAATATCTGTCTTATTAACATGTACGAATACCGTCATGTTTAAAATACACAAAGGCAAAAACTCTAAACCTGACTGTATCAGTCCTGGCTTTGTTGTTAGTTATTGCCACGTACATAGCATGAGGATAAACATCATATCATTGATCTTCTGTGTTCACTGATACTGCAAACATATAGGCTAGTAACATTCAGAAGAATGCTCCTCCAAAATGTCAAGCATCCAGCAGCCAAGGGCAAATATTTGTAACACTGCAAACACAAGCAGATTACTGAGACATTACTGAAGAAAGTTCATTTTGGAAGAACCCTGTGTTTAAAAGGTCTATGATAGAACTGAGTATTTAAAAATCACACACAATGTAGTTTCTCCATTGCCCTCATCAGAGGGCATCTGAGTCATTAAATCAGGCTGTTCAAGCCAAATGAAGACCAGACCCTCACTTTGAAATAGTAACTGGTCCTGCTCACCAAGAATGACCAGAAGTGGTTAATGCTTTCTGGGTAATACCATGAAGTAAAGAACACTGCATATATGGTTTGTTGTTTAATTTTAGGTGAGTTACTTTGTAATTGCTTGCACCATAATATGTAGGAATGAAAATAAATTCGAATTGCATTTGTACCAGATTCCAACTGGTCAAGAAACTCTGTGCAAATATTCTAAACTGTGACCCCGTTCAGTGTAATTCACTAGGCTGGAATATACGGTAAATAAATAATAGACTATCACTGTATTAAAAATATACACATTTTTGTGTTTAGTCCAATAAAAAGCTCAATTTTCACGTATAAATTAGATAAATCTGGGTATGGGAACTTCTGCTTTGTGTTGCTCTTAGGGCTTTCTTGCTTGTATTTTTGTAAAAAAAGTTTATTTATAAGTCAAACAATGAAGAAATAATCACACAGTTAGTTGCATTGTGTCTGTGATTTCTCTATTTTTTAGTAAGGATGTGGATTCTACTGTCTGTGTAATCAAAAACAAACAAACCTGCAGATTTACCCAGGAGTGTACCTGCACGGAGGTGGGCACTGGTGTCAGAGCACAGTTACAGGAGACGCAAAAATTAAATCTGAAACTGGGGATTCCCTCCCTTTTTGCACTATACAAGTTGAGAAATAGGGTTTTCCAAGACTCTGGCAGTGGAAAAACAAGTGGGATTATCCAGGGTGCTTTCTAGACCTTGTTCAGGAAACGGAAACATATGCCATGGTACCATTTATTCTTTACCAAACTGGGTTATGACTCTTATATTAGATGAATACAAGGTTTTGGTTGGAAGGGAAAGAAATCAAGGAAGAAAGAGGAAAAAAAAAAAAAAAAAAAACCAAAACCAAGCAGGAGAGAGAGAAAAAACATTGAAGACATCAGAGTTTTGGACAATGCTTTTGTTATCCTCGGGGTGCAAAACAGAGAAGGGACCTTGGTCCTCTGGCGAAATGAATGTATTTTCTGTTTGCTCCCAAGAAGCAAACTGCAAAAGCCACTGAATTGCATCACGAATATGGATGCCCAAAGAGCTATAGAACATTTTAAGCTGTGGAATATGTAATACTATATTGCAAAACCATGTTAAGCTATAAATTTTGATAATAATATTGTTGACATAAAAAATAAAGTGCAAATTGGGTTGACTAAAATTACAGTGGAAAACTGAAGAAGTTTTTGAAAAGTATCATGTATGCAGTGCGTACAATTAATTGTGAGACAAGTACTGTGAGGGAACAAAACAAGAGGTGAGAACGGGTATGAATTCTATATTTAGATCAGACAGCCATGAAAGATAATTGTAGTGATACTTTTACCATTTGTTGTCTTACAAATAAGTTCCATATTAGTAGCTTTTTAAGGATGAAAGTTTCTCAGTGAAGACTGCTATGTACCAGTTATTTTGATAAGTACTGATATGTAGCGCACATTTCTTGCCCTTTTAGTAAGAACAGTATTTAATATTAAAGCATATTCTAAAAGCACGATTTAAGTATTTTTCATGAATGATTGCTAATATAGGAATAAAGGTTTCTTTTTCTTACACATATCAAACTTGCAGCTAATGATTAAGAGATATAAGAAGTATGGAGGCGACAATAATGTGTAAGTTCAAAGCACAAACTTATTTAAAAAAAAAATCAATTTCACAAGCTCATCAGTTATTGAAAGAAATATGTACCTTGAAATCTCCTTTCTTCTTTCAACTTTTCAATTTTTCTTCCTTAGATATGGGTACATGCAGCAACCAGTCAGAATGGGGAAGACAGTTTTACGATGCCTCTGCAGTCCAGCAGGCAACTAGTTCCCACTAAACTTTGCCACATTCATGGACATGCAAAAAGACTCAATATATGGTTAGCAATGTACTATTTTTTCTTATAACACAACTTTCAGATGAAAGGCAACAGAAACCAAACAAAATGGGTAAAGCATTCTGGGATATTGGATGCAGAAAGAGGATACAGAAGATGAAAACTGCTGGCAGTAAATTCCTTCTTCTGTTCTCTCAGGTCAACAGCCCAGAAATGTTTAAGTATAAGCAGTCACGTAAAGCCACAGAAATATGTTACACTATGGCTTCCCTGCATGCCCCAGGAGAACCTCTGCCCCAACACCTAACAGGTTTCTGCTTACACTCCTAAATTGATCGGACTGTGCAGTTTTTCCTACACACTTATGCACCTGAATCAATCCACACTTGAAAACATTTACTATGTCTAATCTGGCTAAGACATAAGCACACCTATATTAGTTTCCTGAGCAGTTTTTACTCTAGCATCTCTGTAATACAAAACTTTCAGTAGCTGGAAAAACTAGAAGATTAAGCTCTGGCTTTAAATGGCAATGGGTTGAAAAAAATGTTGTTAGTCAAAGAACCTGACTTGCATCTTGTGAAAACTTTAAATAAAAATCTGTTTGAGAGAAACTCAATCAAACTTTCCACCTTTGCTATTTCTGGTGGAAAATTATACAAAGCACTGATTTAAAAAGTAGTGACACAGATGTTCAAGAATTAAAACAAGAACCATTAAAGAAAGCACGCATGAGTAAATGAGGACACAATAAGACCACTGCCAAATCCCATTTGACTATTCAGAGACAAGAATTCTCCAGGCATTCCATTGACATAACCTCTTGTGCTAGAAGGGACCAAGCTTAGAATTATGGTGCTGAGGCACAAATCATTGCTAGGTCCCCTGGAAAAACACCTAAGCTTCAATAAACTTGAACAACTACAAGAGAAAAAAATACTATTGTAGTTACAAACTATATCCTAATTGTTAATCAACCCAGAATAAGAAGGAAAAGTAAGGTTATCTAGCAACCTCAGAACCCAACACCAACCATTTCCAGAAAGTCTCTCAGTCTCTCATAGCATATCCAATAATTTCTAGGAAAAATATTGGGTGTGTCAAAACATTGAAGAAAAGAGGCAAAATAATTCAACAAAATGTGCAAACATCCTGTGGAACCACACTAGCAGTCCTACTACTGTACTTGCCTTGTCCTGTTTGACCTTCCTAAGAAAATACTGCAGGCTGCAATGAGACACTAGACTTTCTAACTTCCTGTGAAGTTAACTAAAAAATGCATGCTTGCAGTCTCTCCCTACTCATGAATCCAAAGGTCTGTAGATGCCATAACTTCTTAATTTCTCTTGAAATTTCTCTTGAAATTAAGAGCCCAGGATGGAAATTTAGGCTGATTTATACACTTACACTGACCTGAACAGGAGCTCTAGATAGTCTTTAATTTTGTTTTAAATAAACATACGTTTGTGGTACTTCTTGTACTTCTTGCAGATTCTTGGTGTAAGCATCGACTGTCCACAATTTTCTTCTACAACTCAGGAAATCCACTGGGACTATAGTGCAATCACTTTGCTACAGAGGCACTGTTTTCACTTATTACTTAAAGGTGCAGGTATGTCTCCAGTCACAGGAACATAAAGTATCCAGTCATTCTGTGGCTCCTAAAACGCCTGCATTTCCTAAAGCATTATTTCCTTTATTAGTTTGATATGGCAGGAAAATCCAATGTTGGCAGGTTCTGCAGAAAGTATGCTCTTAGATGAAACTGAAGAGTGCAAAACTTTGAACAAGTCCAAGCCATCCCAAGAATACTGGGAAGCCTAGAAATTGTATATGACAAAAACCTCCCCCAAAATTGATAACTATGACTTCTCTGGAAGATCTTAATTAGTCATTAAGATTTAAGTAATTTAATAATTTAAATCTTATTTTGAAACAACTAATTTTCTAAGTATTGGGCTTACTTGCCCAGAAATACTGAAGTCTATTCAGTATAAATTTCCAGGTCTTTCACTTTTCACAGTTCCTGAGAAAGGAGAAAGCAAGTCTATGTTCTTAGAAAGTTCCTCTTGATGGTCTGGTGTCTCTCTGGAAGTTAGATGTCCTTTCGTACTTGGCATGGAATGACTGTGAGACCTTATACTTCCCCTTCCCTCCTTTAAACTTGGGAGGAGAACGAAAGGAGATCAGACACTTGTGAGGATAAGAAAATGAAGAGCTTCCAACAGAGCTCTTTTTTTTCAGCTGACATAAGGAGCGTTTGTGTTCTGAGAAATCCTTCATGATCTGGACCAAGGATTCACCAAATAGCTTGCCGCCTGTGTATGGTAAAGACAGCAGTTTACATTTCAGATCCAGCGATGACGTCCAAGGCCGTAGCCATATAGCTCTCCAGGCTACAGTGAGGCATGCCATATTTTTAACAGTGAGCCTAAGAGAATCCTCAGCTGCATCATGGATAAAATTAGCTGCAATTTTACATAGCCTGCGTTTCATCTGCATGGCACCAGATGGGACCCATTTCTTTTTTAACCTTGCCTGTTCTTCCTCCATCCATATTAGTAACGCTCTAGAAGCATAAGTGCAGTAGATACATACTCCAAGCTGGGCTGCAACTAACTTGAAAGATCTTTTAATTGCTTCCTCAACCTTTCTATCAGTAAGATCTTGAGGGAGAGCATCTATACTATCAGGCACTGAAAGTACAGAATGACCAGTAACCAATGCCCTGTCTACCTGAGGCAAAGTCCCCCACAGAGCAGCTTTATCCACTGGAAGAGGATAGAGCTTACGTAGGACTGCTGGGGCTTCGTGCTTTGCTTCGGGATTACCCCAAATCCTACAGACAAGATCTTCCACTGCTGAATGGATAGGAAGTGCATTATCTACCTTGCCTTCTTCAGAGGGGACAGGCAGTTCTTCTGAAGCACATTCAGATTTCGAAGATTTTAGCATTAACACTCTCTTTATGTGCCTGAACAGATAATTCTGATTCTCCATGTCAAACTTACGCAAAGGATCTGGTCCTTCTTGGTCTTCTGTAGGGGACTCAGATGACGCCTCCTCATCTTCAGGGGATGACTCAACCCCCAAGGCCTCATCAGCCTCAGATTTCTCCTTCCCAAAAGCTGTTTGATCTTTTAAACTGTCCATAGGGTCAGATTCACAAGTTTGGGAACTGCTCCCAGTTGCTTCTAGAGGAACCACTGGAACTTCTGTAATTGGTACCCTGGGATGCTTTACTGAATGGGACCTAGCCTGTGCCACAGAAGTTATACTTTGTCTGGCTGCTGTCAAAGCATCCTTTAAGACAGTAGCTAGCTCAGGCAAAATTACAGATTTCATTAATGAATTCTTTTCAGATTCAGAGGAGTGAGTAGGTCTTACCTTCCTGTGGTAGGAGCTCTGAGTGTCTTCTGAATCTGAGCTGTAGTCTGGTGTCTGGCTGAACCAGTGCTGGAGAGAAGAATGCTGCCTTGCCAGTGAGCCAGGAATTGAGTTGCAGCTGAGGGGTTGCTGGAAAGGGGATGGCTGTCCTGCCTGAGAATCTGAGCCCTCCTCCGACCCCATTATCTGTTGCTCAGAAGCATGATGTCTAGCGCCATGCCTGAACTTCCATTCCTCTGACCTCTTTTCCTCTCGGCAGAGGGAAGCAGAGACAGAACTAACCCCTGCTAGCTCTGCAGACTGCCTAGCCCTCCTCCTGGTGTAGGAGGTCTGTGATCTGGTGCTGGAGTATTGATCCCCTGACCTTCTGAAGAAGTTGGATCTGTCAGATCTCACAGACTTTGCTTTGGTAAAGACAGGATCTGCTTCAGGAGAATTGGCACAGCTACCTTTTCTTTTCTTTTCCTTGTCCAGTTTCTTTCCTGTCCAAGCAGGCATGGACCTGAAGTGATGAAAAAAGTTCAAAATACTCGAATTCCTAAATCTTACAAAAATTACTTTTTTTTTTTTTTTTTTTTCCAAGGGAAACCCTATACCCTTTTTCCTCAAAGAAGCACTGCATCATGACCAGTGCCATGTGAGGCTGACAAACTGAGAACTGAGTGACTGCAATGATGCTGGGCTGCAGAAAGTGTGCCAAGATATCTTCTGTAATCTGACTGGTTGCTGCTGCTTCCCTGTCTCTAAGGAAAAAAAGAGGAAATCCCAATATACACTAATTACACAGAAATACATTCTAGAAAGGAGTTTTTGCATGGTAAATAGGATGAGCTCTTTCATGTGAACAAGTCTGAAACCTTGGCATGCATCTGTCCACATCCACCAGACATGAGGTACATAAATGCATTATAAAATAATTTAATAAAGCACTAGATGATTCTATAGATTAACTCAAGCCACTTAAATATGGAGACATACATTCAAATCTTGCTACAGGTCACACATGAAAGCAGACTTGAACAGTCTTATTCTAGGCCTGAGAAAACATGTATGGAGTTCACATCATTTGTACAATTCTGTATGAAGGTCAGTTTCTGCTGCTGAAAGTTCCAAGTATTGAAAAACAGATGAGCGATAAAGGAGAATGCAAACTGGGCTGCCTAGGAAAACTTATACAGTACTTATTGACATCTGCTTCCAAGCATTGCTTCATACTTCCTGTTTTATCATATGAATTTAACTAATCTATATGCACTTAATGGTATAATAACATACTGTTCTGAACTCATTAACCTAAGAACAGAGTATCATGCTTTTTAAAAAAAAAAAAAAATCAAGGAAGAATAAACAGACACTGCTCTTTGGCATTCAGAACTGTAAATCTATTCCAGTCAGACAAAGATACACATTTCCCTTATATGAAAAAGCTATGGCAACAGAGTGGATCCTTATTGAAAGAACATGATTTTTCTATGTATGTTTGTAAATGTCACATCTTCAAAATAATCAAGGGCTTTTACAATGCTTTTGACACAGGAATGCACTGTAAAATCTACTATAACACCCATATAAAATATAGTGGTATTGACATATTTAGAAAATAATAACATTATTTCCTGTACTAATCAAAAAAACAACAAATAAAATGCTGCTTATTTAATAAGCCATACTCATAATTGTTATATGAACAGACTTGCCAAGACATGCTTTTTTGTGATGCCAGGAGATTCAGCTAGACTACATTTACAACAAAGGAAGAGAGTCAGGAATAAGAGCTGTGTCGCATGCTTTGAAGCTGCTTGCTATGTATCTTGTACTGAATTACATGAAAGGGAGATTTGTTTTTCTTGCAGGACAATCCTTCACCTCTGTGTATAACATCACTTCCTCGTTATTGGGTTAGGTGTTAGTACTGGCAGCCATTTTAAATGTGTTTGTTTTCCAGGGAATGTAACACAAGATTACCTTTATTAGTCTTCAATTAGAAATATATTTTCAAAATCAAAATGCTAAATGTGCCCTAACTGAAAGGATGGACACTGTATCTGGTATTTCAACTATATGAAAGATGGGTTTGTAAATAAAGATTCCTCACTTTAAGACAATTGTGTTTGAATCTGTGTTTCACTGTGAATGACTTATTCGAATCTTAGATGTTTTATTTCTAATGAAAAAATTAAATGTTATCTATATTTCTATGCAACACTGGATACAGAATCTTTGCCAACATGGAAAAAAAGTTAGTTTTGAATTAGTAAGTGTGATATTATATACAGTACATGTGTGATACGTACAGTGAACACGACAAACCACATCAGTTGCTCACCTGTATTCACCAAATGTTCCATCATCTTCCTTCATAGGTTGTATTTCTGGATCAGCATGTGCATCCTCCTTTTCCTTCACTAAAATATTTGAAATAGTAATTTTTATCATTAAACTGCAAGACAAGAAATCTTAAGACCTTAATTTCTCAAACTGATCACATTTGGCAGAAACATGGTTTGAATAAAACTAATTTTTTGAACTGGGGCCTTAGGCTGTGACTTGTTTTCTTTTGAAGGAAAAGATCTGTTAATTGGTTAAAGAATTTTATTTTCATTCAAGTACAAAATACTGTATGTCATTCTGCATTAGTAAAACTTTTTCTTCTCATTTCTAACACTAAAGTTTTGTTAAAAATCGTACTAAAATACTTTTTTTACTTATGCTATTAATTAATAAATTTATTTATTGAAATCTGAATAATTCAGTTTTACATATCCATGCACCATATTTCCTCTTGATATTCCTCTTATACTGATTGATAACACTGAATCAGATTCACTTGTGTTCACTGTCAGTTCATCGATTTTCTGCTTTCACTTCATGCATTGAGGCTCCAGGGAATTTTAAACAGTACTTTAAGAATTATTGATATTGTAAAAAATGGGTGTGGTCTGTTAATTTATTCTTTTCTATAACATGATCAAAAGCAAAGCAAAACCACCTACACTGGAAACTAAATTTAACACAACTGTATCTCTTGCACATCCTTCTAATAGGTTTAGTCATCATTCACTGGTGGGAATAAATCCATGCATGTAACTTGTCCCCATAAAAACCCTATGGAGCACTGTGTCCTTTGACACAGAAACCTGCTAGCACCTGAGAAGACAGATGTTTATAGAAGACATATATTCCTGTAAGTTAACCTTGTTGACAGAGTAAAATAACATACTGACTTCTAGAATTATCTTTATGGTTTGTCCCTTTGCCTTTTCACTTCTGTTTTTCTGTCTATTACTAAAATCTTTCCCTTGTTTAGCAGATACAGTTATACAATCTAACATACAATCTCTTATCTTTTACTGTGGTAATTTCCACACTTAATTGGCACATCATTAGTTTACATGTTGTTATTTAAAATTATATTAATCATTCCTGAGAGTATTTTCTAATTCGATAATTACAATAACGTATAACACCTTGAAATGTATCTGGCTGCTATAATTTCATACTGAAATAAATGATTACTTTTTCCAAACCATAGGCAATCTCAAGATGACACGCTAAAATTACAATGAAAAAGAGTTAACAACTTGGTGCATTTGCACTATCTGTGGAACAGTACATTTGCAATGATACAAGAAATACAATTAGCTAGAGTCACTGATATAAACAAGAGCACATACTGAATCCAGAAATCTTCTATACAGTCAAGGTCTACCTTTATATATGTGTGTGCATATGCACATGTATACGTGTATTAAAAAAATACCTTACATCTAGCAATTCTGCAAAAGCAGGGAAAAGAAGGGCATAGCAGGGATCTACACAAACTATTGACAACCTTAGCATCCAACTGCCTTTTTACTCCAAGTCCTCCCTAGTCTCTTCAGTGTCATCACTTTACTTGTTTCATCCTCCTAATTTTCCTTCTCTTTTCTCAGTTTTCTCCACTAAGAGTCACTTTTTCCTATATCTTCTTTAATCTCATTTTCTCTATAAAAGAATGAAATTATTAGGAAAAAAACTAAGATGATGTCTTCAGCCTGTCATTCAACTAATAAATAACACTGTGTTCCTTAATCATCTTTTTTCCCTGGGTATAGGTGGCTGGGACCAAAGCTTCTCTTACTTAGTTTTTACTGTCACTACAAGCCTCTGCTCTCTCCGTGAAACAACTAAACTGTTAGATTGAGCAAGGTAGGACTCTTGTACTTATCTTGTGCTTAATAAGGTGATTTTTATCTTCTTATAAAAGCAGTCTGCTATGCTAAGTTTAGGCATAAGATTTGCCCATGAAGAGGACGTGTTCACTGACACAATTTTTCAGAACTGCACTCATCAAAACAAGCAGAAGAAATTAAAACAGAGTATGGATTTTATTTTTTTTTTTGCACTTTTGTAAGTGTAGCCATCTTTTTCATGTCCAAATTAACAATATGAACTTGAAGAAGTTTGAGCTGACTTTGAACAAGCATTCCAGAGACTTGATATTTATATAATTTCCAAACCTTTGGACTCTGTAATATAGAGCATAATTTTTTCCTGAAATCAAGATTTTACTTGAAACTTAGCAATTGTACTTTCTATTGTAGGTAGGAGAGGAAAAAGAAAAATAAAATTATCCTTTGATGCCCAGCTGAAGTCCATTCACATCCACTCATACTTCACAGCTGCTCTGAGATCCTTTCAGGCAGTACTACTCTTCTATGCAAACTGGCTGTCACTATCCTTTTCAAGAGAGCTTTAGTCTATGGATCTACACCACAAACACAAATGTAAGACTGGGAAAAGATATATATAAGACACATATATAAACGCATACACACATATGCCTTTTATATTATATATACACCCAGAGGAATCAGTTTTGATAGAAGACGTATGTTGCATGGTTCCAATTTTAATTACAAATTCTAAAATATACTTGCCCATTCCTAGGCCTAATAGTAAAAAAAAAAAACCCTAAAAAGAAAACCTCTTATAAAGAAAAACTTGTAGAAAAAAAAAACCCAGCCTAACTGAAGGATGGTAACTTCAAATTTGTCTGCAGAAATGCTGAGGCTGAAGGCAACATGGATTCTGAGGAGGAGGGTAATGTATTTGAAACAAAATAATGTATGAAGGTATTTGTCCTATGAAATGCATTCCCAGTACATTAAAGTAACATGGTATGTTTCCACACTTTTTGACCAATTAAATTCTAACTCAGCACATTTTAGTGGGTTACACCCATCGGTATTAGACTTCAGAGAGCGGGGAGGAGGATGAAGTATCTCAAACAAAGCTCAAACCTCTCTAGAAAGCTAATGTAGTAATATGACCCTCCAGGAATGAAGGAGACACTTTTCTTATGCTTAAATGGATTGAGGTTTTCTGCCAATAGGCAGATTGCTCCTGACAAGCCCACCAAATGATAAGACTGATTTACCATATACACAATGTAAATGTAAATGCAAAGCAGCAGCAAATGTAATTTCTCCAGTAAACCTGAGATCTGTCCTAATGAATTACCGGTAGATGATTTTTACTCTCGTTATTTAACATACCTGGATATTTGCCACCCTTATTCCTCCTTATGAAGCAAACAATCAGTAAAATCAAGATCAGAAGAGCAACAGCACACATAAGACCAATAAACCATCCTTGAGTAGCGATGTCTACCTGCCGACTTGCCATTGCTAGAGAATAAAAGAACAAAAAATTAGATTTTTTTTATGCATTTACATGCTGTGCTAATTCAAATAAATAACAGTCAGTATACATTGTCCATTAATTAGGGAATAATATTGACTGTGAAAATTAGTATTAAAAAACGCAGTGATACTGCAATTTGTGAACATTTTAATTATTTAAAATGTTTCCAAGTACAGGTGCATAGAACTTACTTTTGAGCACATAAGCATTCTCCCAACATTTAAGCTTAGCAACTGCTTTGCAAAACCTGTGCACATACTACACTGCTTTCCACAAACCTCAAAACTATTCTCCATCATTTCACATTAATTAAACTACTGAAATGAATCTGCAAATTATAATTCATATAAATAACACAAACACATTGATTGCATTCTCAAAATGAATAAAAAGCAAATATTCATTAGCTAATGCACTCCCATTAATCTGAAATAGGGAAACAGATGGGTCATTCAAGACCCTAACAACTAAAAACCAACAGTGAAGCATCCTTTAAAGCCTTATTTAGCATCATGTTTTCATGTCCTCAAACCCATACCTCATCCTACAATTTATCATTGTTGCCATGATTTAGCGTGAGTCAGGACTTAACACAATGCAACTGGGAACTCTTTCCTTGGCACTGCTTCTCTCCAAATGCTGACCCTCACTGGAAGATAATGTAAATGATAAACAAACTACACAGGAAACACTACAGTCACTAATAAGGACAGGAATGATCTGTGTGGTCTAGGGGCTGGACTGCTCCTACTGGTCTCCAACACAGCAGGAGGATTTTACTGGTGAAGCATATTTTCTACTCCCCTGTTTGGAAATGCACTACAGGCAACTGGCCTTAGGATTTGCTGTTGGGAGTAAGTGTGAGGAGTGAGAGGAGTTATGGATGTCTGCAACAGACAGAAGAAGATAAGAAATGGAGAAAGATGGACATCTATCCACACCTATCTTGTTAATTCTTCACCTTCTCCTTCAGTCCCCAATCCCAAAAGTTTGAAATTCTATGAAGAGTTGCCCAATAGACCTCCCTCTATTTGGGAAAAAGAAACAAAGATCACCTTCCCACATGAATTAGGAAAGTCACGTGCAAAACTCTTCCTATGGCATTTTGGTTCAGCATTTGTTGGTGTTTTTTCTGGCTTCATGAGATAAGGTGTTAGATTATTTATAGCCAGCACATGTCCCAGTACATTTCCAGGATTTTAGTAAGGATCAATAGTAGTTCAGATTTCAGCTTAATAGACACTTTGAGCTAGGATCAGAATATATTTGAGAATTTCAGACAGTCTCTTTGTTCGGATGCTGTAAGTACATCAGCTCTCATGGCACAGTATGTTTCATTCCTATCTACTAGGGAAGCTCTGTAGACTTGCTTCCACTGAAGTGGAGGACACATGCATGAATAGCTTTAGACACAGGAATGTGAAAGTCCACAGAAAGATTTTCACTTCTCCTTAGAGAAGACATGCTTTTAAGGAAGGGCTCATAAAAACACATCAGAGAGAACCTATTTTCAATGGAGCATTGATTTTTTTCTTACTACGATTCCAGGTGATACAGCATAAACTCTTCTACTCACAAAACATATTTGATGACAACTGGGAACAGTCCTGTGCTGGTGCTGTCCCTTGAACAATACCTGAGCCTTGCATGGCAGAAAACTAGTTGACAAGAGACAGAACTGGGATGATAAGCACACTAACAGTAAAATGCAACAATATCCAATTACAGGCCAGAATTCAAGGCCATGTCTCAATGTTATTTATTAGTAAAGACAGAGAGGCTGTGAGAGCTACCTTGGAAACATCAGCTCTCAGTGGTCGCAGATTCCTGAGTTCCATGGACTGTATGAAAACTGCAAGTACCTCTGATGTCTGGAGACAGTATCTACCCTCCATTCCATATGGAAGACCAATATGTATTCCACTTTAGAAGTACTAGGCTAAAATTAACTCTTTATTTTGCTGCCTCTTTTTGGTCTGAGTGGGTAAAGTTATTATTTGATTTTAATTTAAATAGATCAATGAATTAATGTGTCTGGTTATTGTGGAGCTACAAGTAGGAGATTTCCCAGTCTTTGTTTAAGAATATGCTTTCTGATATTTTAGAAACTGACGCTTTCTTTTATGCACAATAATTTTAACCATTTTTGCATAAAAATGTCTGTATATATATATGTATGTTCAGATGTGGGGCCCCCAACATAAAAAAGACATGGACCTGTTGGAGAGAGTCCAGAGAAGAGCGATTAAATTGGTCAGAGGGCTGGAGCACCTCCCCTATGAGGACAGGCTGAAAGAATTGGGGTTGTTCAGCCTGGAGAAGATAAGGCTCCAAGGAGACTTAATAGCAGCCTTCCAGTACCTGAAAGGGCCTACAGGAGAGATGGGGAGGCACTCTTTATCAGGGAGTGAAGTGGTAGGACAAGGGGTAACAGGTATAAGCTGAAAGAGGTTAGATTTAGACTAGACATTAGAAAGAAATTTTTCACTATGAGGGTGGTGAGACACGGGAACAGGTTGCCCAGGGAAGCTGTGGATGCCCCATCCCTGGAGGTGTTCAAGGCCAGGCTGGATGAGGCTTTGAGCAACCTGGTCTAGTGGAGGGTGTCCCTGCCCGTGGCAGGGGGGTTGGAACTTGATGATCTTTAAGGTCCTTTCCAACCCAAACCATTCTATGATTCTATGATTCTATGTTTGTATACCATACATAAATATATACATATAAATATATATAAGTGGCAGTCTTAAAAAACAAAATCACAAAGGCAATCTTCCCTGAATTATAAATCAAATAAAATAAAATTTTGTTTCCACTTTAAGGTTAAAATTATTCAGAGTTTTGCACATATGCATTCATAATAAGGCATTAAAGGTTGTATAATACATACATGACAAAATGCAAAAGCACATTTAACATTCAAATGTAGTAAGAAATAGCACCAAGCAAAACAACTCATGCATAAAAATATGCAAGATA